GACCGAGTCCTTCTTTTTAAAGGTCTGTGTCCATCTGCTGAAGCACGCTTCATCCCTCCCTCACACAGGTCCGCGATGAAATCCTCTTTACGTCTGTTTGCAGGCTGCTGCGTCTGGGCGTTCAGCGGCTATGACCTCGTGACCGGGTATCCTAAATCCATACCCAGCTTTGGTCTACCCACAGCAGTGGAAAAGGATGCCGCCCCCAAATGACCCACAGACCAGGAAGACTCTTTTCTTTGTAGGCAGCAGTTACTACAGGTATGTTCAGGTCACACCTGGGGAATATCTTGCCTAATCCCATTTCTCTTCCAGCTGTGACGGGGCCAGGGTGGACATGGACGACGGAAACCCCAAACAAGTGGATGACACCTTCCTGGAAATGAGCTCCGGAGTGACAGCGGCTCTGTTGTACAGAGGTGAGCATCTGTCCAGCTGTTTTCAGGGTCTTTGGGCTGTAATGCAGAACAAACAGGTGATGTGTGTCCCGCAGGTTTCTTCTACCTGTACAGTGGACCATACATGTACGAGTTCAGCCAGAGGACGGGGAAGCTGCTCCGTGTGCTGAGGAACAGCTACTTCCTGTCCTGCTTCAAACTCTAGACCCATTGACAAGTTCACACAAAATCCCAAATTAAAGGAGAAGGAGAGCCAATCATTTTTTAATGATTTCACTGCTCCTGTCACCAGCAGCTCAGGTGTTTCTGTAACGTCACTGCTTTATAAAGTTTTCAATATAAATTTCCCTGTGGCACAGTCGTCCTTGTTTATTTGCTGCAAGTCAACCTGTGAACGTCACACACATCAAACACAAACCAGTTACCGTATTTCCCGGACTACAAAGCGCACCTGAATATTAGCCGCACAAGCTAAAATCAGGGGAAAATCCTGTTTTGTACATACATTAGCCGCACCTGACCAAAAGCCGCAGGTGTTTCAATGTTGACTTATCATATGTAAGAGAATATGCACAAAGGGAATTGTCAGGAAAGAGATGGCTGTTTGGAGACACACCCCTTTTATTAATATTTTGAAAAACAAGTTATGGGTACATATTTGCATAACTTTTTAGGTATATGTACAAGTAGCGGTAATTACAAGTACGAAACATGTACTGTGCTTCATAAATGAGTAACAAATGTAGTACATAACAATAACCTACAGCACACCAGAAAAATAGATTCAGACTACCTTTTAGGCTCAGGTGCAGTGACACGGCTTTAACAAGAAGAAAAGTCAGTCATTCACCACCATCTTTCTCTTCTTCCCGCGCACTAAAACCACCAAAGTCCTCTTCTCCAGTGTTGGAAACGAACAGGCTCAGGATGGCTTCGTCATCCACTCTCAGCTCCTTTCCTTCGTTGTCACTTTCAAAACCAGTGCCAGAGTCGAACACCCTCAGAAGGGCCGTGGCGGTGTCCTCCTCTCCATCATGCAGCAGTCCAGCCCTTCGAAATCCGTTGGTGATCGTGGATGTTTTCACACTTTTCCACGCTGTCAGAATCCACCAGTGGAGTTGAGCATAACTTGCTTTTCGCAAGTTTATTGCTGCTCGTCATCCACGCCTCCCGCTGAACGCGTAGCGCTACTTTGAAGTTTGTTTTTCGTGCTACTTGTACGGCACTATGTTGCCTGGCGGACGGGCATGTGACCAACATACCACTCTTGAATCCCGATACTGTGTGTCTGATCACATGCCCTTCCGCCAGGCAACGTAGTGCCGGACAACAGCGGAACAAACAAAAAAAATCGCCTTACGATATCACAAAAATCATGGACAATCCATAGAAAAGCCGCACCTGACTAAAAGCCGCAGGGTTCAAAGCTTGTGCAAAAAGTAGCGGCTTATAGCCCGACAATTACGGTAAATACATCATGTCTAGGTGTGTTACAGCCTGAGGTGGCACAGGTACACACTACGGTATTTAAGGGACAAGTACAACTTTACTTGAATAAAGGGGCAAAAGTACTTAGAGTACAAAACCAGTACCTGTACGTTTCAGGTGATACTCATATCAGAATAGGGTAACACAAACTTTATTTAAACTGAGGGTCTGACTGAACATCTGTATTTACTGCTGCCTCCACACTTGGACAGGTAAACGAGAGTGTACAGTGGGGTTTGGCAGATGGAAGAACCACAGAACTGGTAGTAGTGGTGCATCATGGGAAAGAGAGTCAGTCAGAATTAAATTAATGAAATAAATAAAAGTTTGTTTTAGCAGGTTGGTCAATATGTAGAGTGGAATGAGAGTGCCCTCTCCTGGACCTGTGAACAAACTGCAAGCAGCTGCTGATCTTACTTTGAATGGAAACACTGAGTTTGAACCACACAGACAGCCAACGAAAGTGAAGCTGGACAGGTGTGAGTCACACCTGTGGGTAACCCTGGGACAGGTGACAGAAACATCTGCTTTCATATGTCGGTTTGAGGACTCACAGCTATCTTAGAGACAGGAAACTAATGCAGTGCTTTTACATAAACGCTGTAGTTGTTTGTTAGTGTCAGTGATGTCATTATAAAGAGCTCATCATTTAGAGCAACAGAAGGTGTGATCTGATCAGAGGTTTAAACCAGCTGTGCACACATCTGTTCAGGTACAAAGTGTAGCAGCGACCATCTCCTGTTGTGTCCTGAGCCGAGCTTCAGTCTGACTAGAGGCTCAGAAACAGGAAGTGAGCTGAGAACTGTTACTGTTACCAGAATTGTATTGTGTAGTACTTTACAGTAGTTAAATACTGTACTAGGATCAGTTCAAGTAGAACTGAAATAAAAATGGCTGCGGTTACAGAGGAGTGTAATGTCTGAGCAGAATAAAACTGATGATCTTCACTGAGTGTGCTCTTATTGCGTGCCTGCAGGAAGGCTAGTGTTTGCTGTTCTCCAGAAAAAGAACTAGAAGAACTGCAGGTCTGAGCAAAACAGACCTGCAGTTCTTCTAGCCCTGACTGGCCAGTTGATGGTGTGCACTCTACTGAGGTCACATTTTGGGATTGCCAGGGATCGCTCGAACCCCCACAGCCGTTACTGAGGTCACATCAGTCTGATGACCTGCTGATTTCGATACCTCAGCTTCATACCTGTCACTGACTCTGACCACCTGCCCCCTCTCAACTGCCTGTCATAGCCTGTCTCAGGCTGTGTGATGTCATCAAAGTGCGACAGTGAAGACTGATCTGCATGATTTTATAACAATACTCTGAGTGAATGCCGCTGCTGCTGATGAAGATGATGTTATGGTCATTGACAGCAGCGTCCATCTTACTCTCTCTGGAGATCAGGCTGGAGATGATGATATACAACATCAGTGACATTATCTGTGACATCAGACAATTATGTTATTCACATAACTTTTCTCCACATAGATCTATTATCTGGAATAACGAATGTATTACTAAGAGGAACAAATCACTATATTTGCAGAATTGGATTGATAAAAATATAATCTATCTAAAAGACTTATTTGACTCTGAAGGCCAGCTACTTAGTTACAATGACTTTATTACAGAAAAAACATTCCCTATCAAATTTAAAGATTTTAGCTCTGTAGTAAAGTCCGTTCCCAGCGGACTGACTGAATTGATGAAAAGCTACAAAAAACAGATCACACCACATGCATCCGTTAACACTCTTTATATAAATGGTTTTGATTTCTTAAGCAAGAAATGCACCAATAAACATATTAGAGAATGTTTGTATAATGCGAAGAAAATAACTCCAAGAGGGAAGTTTTTTTGGAATGCTATTTTTGATAATATCAACTGGGATAAAGCGTGGCTTGTTCCTTTTAGATTTTGTATTACAAACAAAGTTAGAGAATTACATTTGAAAATATTACATAACATATATCCATCCAACATGTACATTTCAAGATTCTGTGACATTGATAGAAAATGTACCTTTTGTAAAACTGAACTTGAAAGTGTTACTCATTTGTTTTATGGCTGTTCATATAGTGCTACATTTTGGAGAGAGCTTGAAAATTATATACTGTGCAAGACAACATACGAAATCAAAATTGAAGGGAAGAACATTATCACTTATTTTGAAACTAAAGAAAAAAAAATATGTGCCATTGTCAATCTTTATATCTTATTAGGGAAATTCCATATACATAAATGTAAATTTCAAAACTCAACCCCATCATTTAATTTGTTTTTGATTGAAATTGAATATTACTTAAACTCTCTTAAATTAACTTCCAATAAAAAAGGTTTATCATTGATTGAAATTCATTCAGAAATGTTTAACAAATGAGCTGTCACAACTTTCAAGTACAAAGTTGTTATGAAGTCTGTCACATCCCCCCCTTTTTTTCTTTTTTTTTCTTTTTTTTCCTTTATTTATTTGTCCTTGTTTCATTATACTGTATATTGTTGCTTTTGTTTGCCTTGTATGTCTACTGTTCAGGCTGAACTGGAATGACTGGCTGTTCACTTTGTAATTTCAATAAAGTTTGAAAAAAAAAGTGACATTAGACAGCAGGATGAAGTTTATGTAAGATGAAGGTCTGACTGTTGTGGGTGAGCTGTGGGTGATGTGATACTGATGCTGATCCAGGACTAGCTGAGCTCAGGTACACGGTGAGATGCAGAAACACTGAAGCACCCCAACACCTGCAGGAGGAGTTACTTTATCAGGTTACTGAGGAGGACTGAGACATCGCCATCATGAAACGGACCATCGATTATTCATGTCTGACTGATCTGACATCAGTCAGAGGAACAGCTGAGCTGGATTGTTGCTGCTGCTGATGATGAAGTAACCGTAGATACATACAGGTAATAATTACTTTATTTACACAGCTCCAAAGCCACGGTCTCCTCGGTCTGCTCTAATGATTCACTAAATAAGGCTACAGAGCGTGCTGCCTCTTCATTGGTCGCTCTTTAACGTTTGTCACGTGTCCTGAGCTGGACTCGAACCCGCGCTCTCCGGCTGTTGTCAGCAGATGTTTTTAAATAAAGTTGGACTGGGAACACCTTCCTCCTCCTCCCTCCTCCTCGGGGCGGAGCGGCAGCACTCCTCTGAGGAGGAGTCTGTCTCCTCCTATAAAGAAGATCCCCGCTCCTCCTCCTCCCTCTTCTTCCTCCTCCGGCGGATCCTCGCGCGTGTCCTCGTGGTTCCTCTTCATCATGGGATTCGGTGACCTGAAGTCAGCCTCCGGCCTCAAAGTGCTCAATGACTTCCTGTCCGACCGCAGCTACATCGAAGGGTGAGTGCCGAGAACCGCCGTAAAGCGGGAGAAACTGCGACCCAAAATAGCCGCCATGTTGGGTCCATGCTGAGCTAACAGTTAGCTGCCTTGATTAAAGCGCTAAAGAAAGGAAACCGGAAAGGGGACGGTAATCTGGCGCGAGAGGTGCACCGGTTTTGGAAGGAGGGGTAGGGTCTGGGCCGATGCCGTTTTTATTCACTTCGGTTTGACGTGACAAGCTGTTCGCTTGTTAGTCCGTTAGCCGCATGCTGCTAACGGCTGCGCGCCGCGAATCTGCGCGCTGACTCACGTGGACTGAGTGAAGTCCTGCACCTCCTCTTGGAGTACCCCTAACCATGGTCATGTGTTCTCTCCTCAGGTACGTACCCTCCCAGGCTGACGTGGCGGTCTTCGAAGCTATTTCGGCTCCGCCCCCTGCTGACCTGTACCACGCAGTCCGCTGGTACAACCACATCCGGTCCTACCAGAGCGAGAAGAGCAGGTGAGCGCTGCTGACATCATGGGGTGAATAGAGATTGACAGACCACGTGACTTTCGCACATTGCATGCCGTGAACTCGTGGCAAAACAATCCAAGTGCGCATCAAATGCAAGCATTTGCAGCACCGCAAAACGTTCATTCTTCGGTTCCAATAAGTTCTTGCTTTTTCTTTGCCCCCCAAAAAGGTATGTACAAAACGAAGGAGAGCAATGCCGGTCTGTACAAAGACAGACTTGATGAAACGTCAAGGAAAAGATACGAGGAAAAAAATCAAACCAGTGAAAGGGTTAGACCCTTACGAGCACACAGAGGGACAAAATACGTTAGCGTGCTGCCCAACTTTCACCACGCTCATATTTATAATTACACGGTTCTTGGAGTGAGTGCATACACTCGTGAAGTTTAGTAACGTCAGGTCACTGCAACAAGCCCAGGTACAGTTTACCGACGGATGGGTACAGGACCTTGAAATGCACCGTGTAGAAAGTAAAGACTATCGTACATATCATAAGTTTACCAGTCTCACAAATCGTCTTCATAAATACACATTCGTTAACCGTTTATTAATAGGACCTTTGAGCTCAAAGGTAATTAATTAGTAGTGGAAATAATTTCTGGTTCACATTACAGAAATGTAGCAGTGACAATAATATTGTATGTTGTAATCGCACTGGGCAATTAGTGATACAGAACAACTGTTTTATCCTGTGAATAAAAGTACATGTTTTTGTCAGTGTACCATAATAACAGAAGCGAAACGCAATATTGTGTCAGGACAATTTACTATTTATGCACAATAAACAAAGGAGCATAGCGCAACAATTTCTGTTCAGCGCCAGACTTGCTTGTAACCTATATCACTAATTATGTTATGAAAAATGACGCATTAACTACAACAGCAGACTGACCTTTGTGGAAATGCTTGGAGCAGACTAACCTGTGAGCTGGAGTGTTCTGGGACGTTATATTTGCTCTTTGAATGGCTGCAATCCAGGCCACCCGTTGCCTCTTTGTTACTTCGGAAACATGGCTCGAACAATTTCTCTTCAACGACGTAATCCGATAACAACCGATCTCTTTACCCGTCGGCTTCCCGTGGCTGTCATGCGACCGGCTATTGCAGTTAATAATACAACGGCTTCTTGACATTTTTTGTGTTTCCTTTTTATCGCTGTGTAACTGATTTCAATTGAAAGCCTGCGTGCGCTAGTACCTCTTGCCACGAGTTCCCAGAATTCTTTGCGGTTTTACCCCTGAGTGACGTCACATTTTCAATTTCTATACCGGTGTGCTGGCGGCAGCAACTAAGCCCCGCCTCCTGTTTTAGTCTTCCAGGTGTGAAGAAGCCCCTGGGTCAGTACGGCCCCCTCGGAGTGGCCGACACCACCTCAGGCTCCGCCCCCACCACAGCCAAAGACGAGGACGATGATGACATCGACCTGTTTGGTTCAGATGAGGAGGTGAGGAGGTGGTGATGTCACCTTGACGCTACAGTGTCATGGTCACTCTAACCTGAGTTTTGTTTGACAGGAAGATGCTGAGGCGACCCGGCTGAAGGAGGAACGTCTCGCCGCCTACGCTGCCAAGAAGTCTAAAAGTAGGTCCGCCCCTCTCGCAGCCAATGCATAATGCAGACTCTGTGATGATTAACCAATCACCATCTTTCGGCTGACACCTGATGGACGCCTTTTCTGCCTGACGAGTCCCGCCCTCGCACGGCTCGTGGCTTGCTCAGTTTCCACAATAACTAACCACTCCCCTGTCCTGCAGAGCCCGCAGTCATCGCCAAGTCTTCGATTCTATTGGACGTGAAGCCGTGGGACGATGAGACTGACATGGCAAAGCTCGAGGAGTGCGTACGCAGTATCCAGATGGACGGGCTGGTGTGGGGCCAGTGTGAGTACTACTGCATACACTACTACACACACCACTGTGGGGTCAAAGTATTACACACAGGGTTGGAGTCAGTATTTGGATAGATGGGCTGGTGTGGGTACTGCACAGAGTAATACTACTGGTAGCACTGCAGTAGCATTACAGTGATCATTGTACCAGATGATGTGGTGGTAGTAGTAGTGTCTAACACTCGCAGCAGTAGTGAGGTACTGATCAGTACTCTGTCAGTTCAGTCATTGATAACGCTGTGATCATTGATTATAGATGAGTACTGATGGATCAATGGAGCTGATCAGTTATTGGGTGGATCAGTATACCTGTGACACCTGAAGTAATGATTATATATCATTACAGGCTAGGGCTGGGCCATATCATACCGTTCACGGTAATGCCGGTATAATGTTGGACAACAAAAAGAAAATGAAATATCGCGATAGAATATGGGAAAAACGCGCATGCACAGTGCCTTTGTTTTCATACGCACATGGCGCCAAAAGCATGACGGAGAATGAGAAGGGTGAAAGTTGGTTTGTAAAAATGCTGCAGCTTCACTGGTGTGGAACTGGTTTAGCTTTCGTCCGTCAGATACACAACAAAGCACTATTTTTGGTAGAGCATGCTAGCGGGCCGTCGTTATTACCGTGTTGTTTGGAAAATACGGCACACTTAAAATCAATCCTTTGATTTTTCTGAAAGTCGACAGCGCCCCTTATAATCCCGTGTGCCTTATGTATGAACTCTGGTTGTGTTTACTGACCTCGAAACGATTTTATGTACACGGCGCTCTAAAATCTGTCAAATGTTTCAGTACGACTTTGCTAAGCTACGAAGTCGCACCGCTTGATCGTAGGCGGAGCCTGGCAGAGTGATACGTACTGTGCTTCGACATAATATTACCGTATTTTGTGTGTGTGTAACCTCTTTTTAAGTGTTGTGGACATTATACATGGTTATGCTGAGGATATGTTGGCCAGTTTCCACTGGAAATGCCTTTTGGTTAAACTGTCAGCGAGGAATTTGCATTTGCACTGTTAAATATTTATATAACTTTGATGCACATAAAAACATATTTTTGGTCATATCGCCCTGCTCTAGTACAGGCTCATTTTGATGTTCTGAACTGTTTATTGATAATAGGTTATTGATCAGAGTGGGTGTGATTCCTGTAGACACATGATTATTGAGGTGTGTGTGGGGAATATTGATAAGGCTCACTGATGATCTAACTCACCATCTTTCGGCTGATCACTGATGGACTCATATTGATCTGAGAGCTTCTGATCACTGACCAATAACCCGATGGCTGCAGCTTGGAGTCACTGATCGATAACTGTGCTTAATCTGTCCTGCAGCCAAACTGGTTCCCGTGGGTTACGGCATCAAGAAGTTGCAGATCAACTGTGTGGTGGAGGATGACAAGGTGAGTGGCCTGTTACTGTTTGTTGATCAGGTGTCTGTCAGGTTGATTAGATCACCTGTGACACACCTGCAGCAGTAAATGCTGTTACCTGTGTGTGAGCTCACCTGTGTGATGTCACCTGTCTCAGGTGGGCACTGACATCCTGGAGGAGAAGATCACTGAGTTCGAGGACTTCGTACAGTCGATGGACGTCGCTGCATTCAATAAAATCTGAAATAAAAGCTCTGCACCATACACTGTGTCTGACTCACCTGTACACACACTCACACCTGTGGTTAAGGGACCTGTAGCACTGAGCAGGTGGCGCTCAGGGGTGCTTTCAGGTAAACTGAGAGGTGATCCTAAACTCAGGTGCAAGTAAGCCTAAGATTAAACCACTAAGGCTACGTTCACACTGCCGGCGAAAGCGCATCAAATCCGATTTAATTTTTTTTATTTTTGACCCTATGCGACCCATATCCGACCATGGTATGACAGTGTGAACGGCACAAATCCGATCTGGGTCACTTTCGTATGTGGTACTGAATCCGATACATATCCGATGTTTTAGAAAGTGACTACTGTTTGAACGGTCATGTCGCATTATCAGTCTTTTACGTCACTGACACAAGACACACCAATTATCAACGCCCGAGAAGACATCGCGAACGCTTCCTGGCCATCCAGTGTAGATGTCAGTGAAACTATTGGGAAGATGACGTTGGAGAAACATGAACATTTTATTTGTACTGTATAATCTGCAGATTCTGAAAGAAATCTGCAACTATCCTTTGAAGCACTGCTCCTCTCTAAATCAGCAATAAAGATAATTATTAGGTTATCTACATTATTATGTAAATAACTGAAAGCAAAAATTGGGGAAACGTAGTCCGAAGTCTTTATATCAAGGGCCATCAGTCAAACAAAATTGTTTGCTCTGGGTCTAAACAGAGCGTGTTGCGTGTGACGTCTTCTTTTGCGCATGCGGGCCGCTTTGAGCGTTCACACTAGTGCGCTTTTGCTGTTGCATTTTATTTGTTGTGTGAACAAGCAGACAAAAATCGGAATTGAGCATTCAGACCTGCAGTGTGAACATAGCCTTAGTCAGCTCAAACTTTACTTAGGGCACACTCAGTCGACGCATCCTCTTCAGTGGATTCAATTAAAGTCTGTTTCATCACCTGAGCTAGTTCATCAATCATTGTATTAGTCTGTGCAGAGTGATAATGTTCATCCCAAGCTCATGATGTAATGTGCAACTTGGGCTGTGATTGGAGGAGAGAAACAAGTAACTTTTTTTTTTTTTTTTAAAACCCTGGAACCCGGGCTGTAGAGGCTGCACTTCTCCGTGCGGCCTGCTGGCGGGGGCACGCCCCCGTTGTGTTGCAGCGAATGGATCCGTAGAAGAAGAGTCGGACCGGAACTTAAACAGAGGGGGGTAGCAACGCGCGACGGCGGAGCACTTTTAAATCTGTGGAAACTGAACAAAACCAAGAAGAACAACAAACAGCGGAAGGTAAACGGTTTCTGTCCGCCCTGACGTGAATGCACCGAGCCCGCAGACAGCCACTCAGCTGCTCTTTCGGCCTGACCTAGCGGGCTAACCATGCTACCGCATAGCCAGGTGCTAATGCTAACAGCTGCCGTGAGGGTAAAGCCACGTCACCGGCAGCATGACGAGCGGCGTCGCCATGGTTACCGCGAGTCCGGTTTAAGTCGGCGTTAGCGTGAGTTTAACCAGCCAGGCTTAAGAGGGGAGGTTAGCACGCGGCTAGTTAGTTTCAGTCAGAATCAACCAATTAGAGCTCGGTTCAGGCGACAGTAGCCAATCAGAGCGCAGGGAGAGCAGGTCTGTGAGTGGTCAGTCGAAGGCGCCTTTTGTTTACAAACAAATAACTGACATAATTGCTTGTTTATTCAGAGTTACCATGGAAACGGGAACTTGTTATAAACACACTGCGTTAACCGCCGGTCACATAAAAGCAGTGGAGCTGGCAGTGTTGAACCAATCACAGGTGTTTCATGGGTCATGTGAATCTTCCACAGAAAATGATCCCTATGAGAGACACCAGAGATCAGAATCAGAATCGTGTTTATTGGCCAAGTATATGTGCAGACGCATACAGGGAATTTGGTTCCGGTAGATGGTGGCTCTCAAGTACAGCAATATAAATCACACACACACACACACGTGTCTATATATGCACATTACACATACATACACAAAGCTGTGTAAATCAACTATAAATAACGAATCTAAACTTATATACATAAAATACAGAAATGAATGAGGTGGAATGAATACTACAAAATGTACATAAGGTGCAGTTGCAGTCTGGCAGTGGGAGCAGTGTCACAGGTCAACTGTTAAGAAGGGAGATGGCGAGGGGAAAGAAACTGTTCCTGTATCGGGTGGTCCTGGTCTGCAGGCTTCTGTACTGTCTGCCAGAGGGCAGCAGATCAAAAAGTCTGTGTGCAGGGTGTGAGGGGTCTGTGATGATTTTCCCTGCCCGTTTCCTGGTTCTTGAGAGGTACAGATCCTGGATGGAGGGCAGGGGCGTTTCATCAGATGGTGATAAAGATCTACACACAACATAATAAACGGTTTCAGTAACACAGCGGTGTGACAGTGAGACGCTCAGTCTAAGCTTCAGTCAGTGGTTCATATGAAATCAGTAAGTCTCACTGAAAACATCTGGAAATCAAAGAATCAGTGACAAGGTCAGCTGACCTGAAACTGAACATCACAATTAGATTGGTAAGAAGATGTAGCCCCGCCCCTTTCTCTATGAGGCGCCTTGAGGCGACTTTTGTTGTGATTTGGCGCTATATAAATAAAATTGAATTGAATGTAAGCATGCAGGTTAAACACTGTGTTAACCTGAAGCAGCGGTCCTTCAGTCAGTAAAGCAGCTCTGCGTAAGTGGAGGCTGTTTAATTTACATATGAATCATTTTGTTAGCAGACACACCTGCACTCAAACACCAATCACTCATATACGCTCATGTATGGGACTCCTCCCCGCTGACATGGTGTGTAACTAGGGATGGGTATCATTTAGGTTTTATCCGATACCGGTGCCAAACCGGTACTTTTGAAACGGTGCCGGTGCTTAAATGGTGCTCAAAGCGGTGCCTAAAGAATGGAGAACACAAAATTGGTCCAAAAACCTCTCATGTTCAGCTGTTTTTTGTAAAAAGATAACAATGTTAGCCTTTTCTGCAGCTATAGGGCATATATGGTAGAGATGGACCGATCCGATATTACGTATCGGTATCGGTCCGATACTGACCTAAATTACTGGATCGGATATCGGAGAAAAATAAAAAATGTAATCCGATCCATTAAATATCACGAAAGCACCTCACAAAACTTGCAACACGCCATAACTCACCTCAGAACGTTAGCACGTCGGAGCAGTATGCATCACGTGATAGAGCGGCTGTGGCATGCGGGACCTGTCGGTGGTCTGGATAGCATGTGGAGCTTCGCTAGCAACCCGGCATTTCATCTCCGACAAAGTTATCCCGAGAGAAGTAAAGCAAGTGTGTAAGTCCATCTCTGAATGTTTGTAAAGCATTCCTGCGTTAAGCTTAACAAGCGACTGCCTCTCCTGCTGCTACTTCAATCATGAAACTGCTAATGATCAGCTGATCGGCTTTTCTGTCGCGAGTCCGTCTCTCTTGTTTGTTTTTGGCCCACTTTGCACCAGAAAGAGGAAACCAGCGGCTGAACAACAGCAGCACGTTTAAGCTTGATCAGCTGTTGTTAGAATTTATTTAATATTACTTTCTACACCAGGATCTTTTTCTACGTAGCTGACGGCTGGTAACTGTGCAGGGGCGGATCTAGCAAAGTTTAGCCAGGGGGGCCGATAGGGCATGAACAGGGAAAAGGGGGCACAAAGACATACTTTTCTTTCTTATTCTCATTTAAAATGTCTAGCTTTTAATAAATAATTATCTGACACCCAAAGTTTTAATTTGATGCAAAATGAATAGAAGTCCATTACTGTATATAGTGACTATTAAGTCTAATATATATACCCTAGTAAGCTATAGTACTTTTTCCTTTGGGAAGGTACCATCTGTGCAGTCTGCAATTTTGTTGAAGAAAGATGTTGAATCTATTTAATATTTCTTGAAAAATAATTGATTTCTGTGCATTTTTTTTCACACTGCATCAAATTAAGGTTGATTACGTCGATTAAGCATCATGAGGTGGAGCGTGAGGGGTGGTTCCCTATTTTTTATTTATTTATTTTTGTTGCTGGGAGTTGGAACCCTAATTACAGGGCTCTAGACTAACTTTTTGACATGGGCGCACCGGTACACCTAACTTTAAAAATTTAGGCGTACCGGCACAAAAGTTAGGCGCACTCAAATTTTTCAACCGCATCGCTTAACACCGCAGTTTTACATGTGCACTTTCTTTGGGGGGGGAAGTCCATACAGACAATATTAATTTCTAAATTATTAACTAACAAACTTGTGCTTAAAGTGCTTTGTCAATATTGTAGAAAATGTTAAACTTAATCATCATCTTGGCCTCCTCTGACGACCTGTTTGCTGCTGTCTGCTGCTGAAAGGCCGTGGGGAGAGGGGACACTTGGGCAGTGCATTTATTGCAGCATATAATGTGTTTTCTGGATACACTGTGCTTTTTCAGCATTCAAATATTGATGGCACCGTGTCAGAGCACTGGCTATGAATTTCAGACAGATCAGGCCTTAACTTAACAAAAAAGTTATCAATAGTTCTTTTCATCTTTTCTTATTACCCACAGCTACATCCACTTCTCTCAGGCCTAGGCTGCTCACTAGGGCTGGGTATCATCACTGATTTCTATAATCCATTCAATTCCGGTTCTCAAAGTCCTGATTTGATTCAATTTAGCCTCAGACAGTCAGAAATATTATAATTCTGATCATTTATCAGTACTGACTTCATCAGAATTGTGAACATCACAGCAGATGCCTTTGTGTGAAAGTAACTGAGAATAAAACACAGAAAACATGAAGGAGATTTTCCTGGTCTGGCTTTTTATAGCAGATAACCTTAAAAATATTCTGCAATTTTGCATAATTTTAAGAAGTTTAAATTTCTTCAGTATTGAACAGCAGAAATTAGGCTTTCTTGTCCGAGGTCATTTAAGTGAAAAAAGAAAAAGACAGCGCTGTAAACAACGGTAGACTGGTGGGTAATAAGCGAATGAATAATGCAGAAAACAGATTTGAGACAGGAAACTGTTCCTGAAGTACAGAGAGAGAGAGAGAGCTGTGCAGGAAGTGTGATTTTTATCGTGGTGGAAGCAAAACAGCAAAAGTCAGAGGGAATTCATGACGACATTGATCAAATGTGAAGCGCAGTTTGCTGCTTCTTTTGCTGCTGGCTCGGTGAATTTTGGTTGGAGAGAGCAAAACCTGCAGCTCAGAATCAGCGCAAAAAGACGTAAACACAGCGCGGACCCGAAGAATCGCTAAGCTCCGACAGCGTGTCCGTGTTCGGGCCGTCGGGTGAGAAAGCCGAAGCTGATTCTGATGTGTCAGGTCCGCTCCGTGTTTAGGTCTTTGTGTGGAATGTTAATGAATTGATATCGCTTTATTCAAGATACTCACCTCCCATCTTCCACCTGCACTTTCAACTGGACCACGGCCAATCAGAGAGGTCCCGCCCCTGACTACTCTCTGATTGGTTTAGTCCACGATAGGGGCAAAATGTGTGTCTGTTGTTGACCACACGGAGAGTTACAGAGAATTTTTTTTTTGTTACCGGAACAGTGTGCACCGTGACCAAATATTTATTTTTAGTCGCACCACTGAAAAATTTGGTCGCATTTGCGACCAAATTGGTCGCACTCTAGAGCCCTGGTATTAGTTAGGTTGCTTAATATTTACGCTAAGTACTCTTTAAAATACCAGAATAGGGAGGATGGTGTAGGTTTAAGTTTATTAGATTGATCAGTATTGCTGAACTATGAAATATTTTTTTGCATACAGGTATAACAGAATAGCTTTAGTGTAGTTGTTGTTTTAAACTTGAGATGAACTTATACAAAATGCAGCAAGATATTTAAAAAACAGTTTTGTTGATTAAAAAACACTATATCGGATTCATATCGGTATCGGCAGATATCCAAATTTATGATATCGGTATCGGACATAAAAAAGTGGTATCGTGCCTGCGCTAATGGCAATCATGTAATCACTCTTGGTATAGCAGTGCTTAAACAATGGAAAACACAACTTTGTCCAAAAACCTCTCATGTTTAGCTGTTTTCCACTTTTTCTTTGGTCATTTTAGCCTTTTTGGCCAGGGTGAAGGGAGTATCTGCCATCAAACAAGAAGACAGCCCATGTAACTCATGATGGTGTTTGCTAGTTCACCTTACTGCATTAATGTTAATAACGTGGTTAGCCTACTCAACGTAAATTACACACGAACAACATTAAGCTACTCACGCAGAGAAGAACGGCTGCTGCTGCATCATCATCCGTCATCATTTCTGCTACACTGGCAGGGCTAGGGGCCAGGACTCTCCTCTTCGGGTTTTTGGGGGATGTTGCTAACTGGATAACAGGCACCACACCCGCAGTAGATGTGCTCGGTGTGAGGTCTCGCAGCAAGCTATCAAATACGGCGCATTTCTTGGCTTTTAAAAAAAACGCTATGCGTCGCCAGGTGTTTCATCAGATTTGAGGTGTTACCTCCTTTGACAGTATCACAGTATCAGCTTAAAGCACTTGTTGCTGCTGAGTTTGCATCTTTTGCTGTGAAGTACAGCCAGACTTTTGACCGCTTCGCCTTGGGCATTTTTAATCTGTAGCTCTGCTCTAAAAGAACGTACGTACCTGGCCCGCCTACTATCCTCGGAAACGTAAAATGATTGGCTAGAATCTAAAGTGTATCACAGCTCAGGAAAAAAAAAGCACCGAAATGTGCGCTGCTTTTCGGTCTGGTTACTACCGTTTATGTCAGAACCCATCCCTATGTGTAACAGGTCATGTGACCACGAGGCAGGAGTCAAAGGCCTCCTCAGGTACGTCTCTGAGCAGATGAATATAGATTCGTGAAGAGCCTCTGACATTCTACTGAAAGACGTCTGTAAACGTTAATGATCAGTTATCAGGGATCAGCTGTGACTCAGCAGGCGATCGTAATCTGAACATCACCTGATCCCAACCAGGTGTTCCGATCATGTACCATGGTGACGCAGCCAGGTAAGTCCCTGGTGCTGATGCTGTGTTGGTGTGTGTGTCTGACTGTATATGTGCAGTCAGATGGTTCCCGTGCCAATGGTATGCTTCCTTAACTTTAAATCAAACAGCTGCTGGCCCCGCCCACGCCAGGCTGACCAAAGTGAGTGACAGAGAATAACAGCCAATGGGAGTACCTCATTCTGCAAGGGGGCGGGTTTACCAGTGTTCTAATTGGCCCGTGAAGCTCAGGTGGGCTGTCCTGTTGGCAGCTGTTAGAAGTGTTCACAGTTAAGAAACAGCTGTTTCAGGCTCTGTGACCTTTAACCTTAATAATTCCAACTCAACAGCCATATTACCTGTGAGCTGTGACATCACAAACCCTCACTAGGGCTGTACAAGCCCCGTCTTCACACAGCCAGTCACATTACTGAGCTGTGAGTGTGTATGATGCGATAAATAAGCACCCTCAGGTGTTTCCAACCTGGCTGCATAATGGACTGTCTGTGCTGCAGGTTTACCTGGACTAATCAGAGGCTTCCTGTCTCATGATCAGACAGGCCAGTGTGTTCCGCTGACTTCTGACCCATAATCAATCACTTCCCGTTTGTAGCTCCAGGCTCATGGACACACTCACCTTACCACTGGTTACAGCATGGAGCACTGTGACTGGAGAGAGAGGTCACTGACTGCACGTCCTCCAGGTGAGTACTGAAACCAGACACACACCAGACGTATCACATAGTCCCTCACAAACACACACAACTTCCACTCTGACGCTGCTGCGCCCGTACACGCCGCCATCTATCTATCTACCTGCGTGTGTGCTGACAGCTACAGGTGTGACTCTCACCTGTTTGTTTTCAGATCTCCAGTCAGGATGTCCGACTCCTCTGATGAAGGTAGAACACACACACACACACACACACACACACACACACACACACACACACACACACAC